TTCAACTTTGGTCCGCCAGCTCAGTCAGCCTACTGGCCTTGAGGCGGTTAAAATCTCCAACAAATCTGCTCTCTTTTTGCACCACCTGTGCAACCACAGAAACTCCACCTGTCTAACCTAGCTTCTCACCCATAGTCTGCTTCCCCGTCAATTAAGACCACTCTAGTTTATACCCTGCTCTGTGACAGAGCACCCGTTACCCCCCACACTCACTAGCCCCTACTTGATAGTAAAGTTCAATTAACTGAGTACTGACCACAAAGTCTGCTTCTTGGTTCTTGCCAGTACCTGATCATGATATTCTTAGGCTTTCTCTCTTGGCAAATATGACCAAATTGACAAAGACTCCTTACCTGAGAAAGCAGGTCCACTCACAAAGTTTTGGTCTCATATACATTTTCATAAATTGTATTTGAAGATCCATTTTCCTGTTTCTGTGATGGTGTTATGGTCTCACGGTCTAAATATCTGTATATATGATCAACAGCCACATCTTTAGTCAGTCCTACTCTGCTGGGCAGTTGTCCTTCAAGAGCTGCATACCTAATTAAAAATGCTTTTCATAAAGTGGACTGACGACTGAGGAAGTTAGTGGAATTAATTACCTTTGGTGACCAATTTTATCAGACTGATTTATATTGGCAGTTCAGTGAATCAAAGATCATGTTAATCTAACACCATCTTCCGTCAGCATTAGCATGTTGTGGATGTTGTGGTTTAACGGCAAATCATTTATTATTTTAACAAACACAAGTAACCCTCCCACAGCAGTTGAGGGTCTGGTTCACTGTTCTACCACAGGATGCAGCGATTTCCTGCTGATCTACTACTAAACAAATACAGCAGCTGCACATTAACCAGCTATACACAGAAACTGTTTCTGTGTTAGGTCATATTTGTTGAGCTGTTTGTAAATCAGTCTTTCAAATAATTTGCCACTCTGTTGATGCTCTTCAGCAGAGCTAGCTACATGCTGAGGTACCGTATGTGCACCATAAATGCATCACAGTGGATGAGAAGGAAAAAGGGATGTTTTGGTGCTGGGAGGTCATTATTTTTAATACTTAGTAAATATCT